GAAGACGGGCATACAGTGTGCGCTATCGGGGGAATTTTACTCGGGAAGCGGCACTTCGCCTATGGCCTACTCTTGTATCAAATTCCATCAGCCAAGGGATCTTTTATGTGCACGCCAATGTACACACGGGTCCTCGGTTTTTCATCCCATCCAAACGGAAAATCCCGACGAACTTTCTCGGCCAATGCACGACCTCCAAGCTACCGAGCCAGCGTCTTACCCACTTAGCCACCGTGGCCCCACCTGAACTAGAAAGTAAGCCATGTTGTTATTAATCTGTATTACATAAAATCGCTGATCGTAATTGGGTGACTGTTTAAAAAACAAACTACATGTACAATACTATAAAGGAAATGTGTACAATGCCATCTTTCACATTCCTTGACAGCACCGCAGAGGGAACCGGGGGTGAAAAATCCCTAAATTTCTAAAGCGGGACAATCTAGTTTATAGTTAAGTTTCCATACCCTGTAATTTAGTCGGTGTTATTCCCAAGTTTTAAGAACCAAGGCCTGTTGGAATTCGAATAAAAATATGCAGAGACATAACTTTCTGTACAAATATTCTCCTTACCTAAATTTCCCACGTAATCACCGCTAAACTTCCGGGTCCAACTGTAGACACTTTTGGTTGGTCCCAGGTTCACAGCCAAGGTAAGTCTTAGTGAAATTTGTTAAAAATGACCAGGAATGACTTCTCATTATAATCGCACTTTGATACATACTTACATTATTAAAAATGTACTTTCGTACTTAAATTATTAAATACATACTTTGTACTTACATTATTAAATGCGTACTCTCGTTATTAAAAACGTAATTTCGTACTTGGTTTATTAAAAACGTATACTTTTGCACTTACAATAATTAAAAATGTATCTTCGTACTTACATTATTAAAAACGTACTTTCGTATTTATGTTATTAAAAACGTACTGTAGTACTTACATTATTAAAAACGTACTGTAGTACTTACATTATTAAAAACGTACTGTAGTACTTACATGTACAATGTATAGTGTCTGCATATTGTGTCCTGTCCTTAGCTTTGTTTTGTACTTGTGTGTGTGGGTGTGTGTGGTGCGCCCCCCCCCTGCTCTTACTATTGTCTGCATATTGTGTCCTGTTCTTAGGTTTGTCTTGTGTAATTGTTTCGTACTTACATTATTAAAAACGTACTTTCGTACTTAAATTATTAAAAACGTAAACTATTAAAAACGTACTTTCGTACTTACATTATTAAAAACGTATTCTCGTACATTATCTGTATATTGTGTCCTGGTTTGTCTTGTGTAATTGTGTGTATGTTTGTGTGTGTGTGTAGTGCGGTCCCCTGCTCTTACTATTGTCAAATACGTAATTACATTTTTAAAAACTAACTTACGTAGGCAGTGTTATATGAAAAAAGGACTATTGCACAACCTTAGCAAATTATTGTAAAGGTCAAGAAGTGTGTTGATGTGACATGAAACCTCGATCCATTTATTCTATGTTAAAATGTATGTTGGAAAGACCTTTTTATGCTATTATTATGTAACCTTTCATGCGTGTGTAACGATAAAGAACAGTCATAATAAAATACTGTAGGTGAAATACGGTCTACCTTGTTCTGTTTAAAGGGGGACTAAGCTATTTGTGTCTTGACACAGATTTGTCTAATTTTATTTAAAAACAAAAAAAATAATAAAATAAACTGCGTTGTTATCAATCGTATATAACGAGTGTGATAATGGTATTTTAGTGGGTTATGTTCCCCCCCCCCCCAACCCGCAAATAGAAAATGAACAACAAAAAACCCCAAAAAAAACCCCAAAACAAAACAAAACAAAACAAAACAAAACAAACAAAAAACAAAACAAACGAAACAGACCAGGAACTAATAAGAAGCGATGACGCAGTGGTTAGAATAGTCACTTTAAGTTCATTGGTCGTCATTCGAGGGACTTTTTGAATCTCTTGCAAACTACAAAGTTTAATCTCTAAAAGGTATAACAGCTCCCAAAATGATTCAATTCCGTTCAGTATTTAAAAAGATATGATGTATACTTTCGGCGGACGATATAATAAAGTCAGCGCCACCTATAAGTATACTGAATAACAACTTTTGAAATGAGATGACATGACATGAAATGGGGTTTAACGTCCTACGGTTCTACTCACATACTGGGCTAATGAAGACAGGCGTACGCCATACAGTGTGCTATGAGGGAAATTTTTGCCCAGGCAGCGGTACTATGGCCTACTCTTATACCGAATTCTAATTGCCAAGGGATCTTTTACGTGCATGCCAATGTATACACGGGACCTCGGTTTTTCGTCTCCTCCGAACGACTAGACAGCTGTCCTTGTCAGGCCCTCCGTCCTGTACCACTGACAAGGCGGAACCACGTCCGAAAATAAAAAAAAACTGTATTGTGTGGTTGATTTTTTTTTAAAGCGAATGTTAAAGGGACTATCCCTTATTTGAACAGTCTCAAAAATAAAAGTCTGAGTATATATGAAATTTAAACGCCAAAATATAGAGGAATGGTATATTGGCCGTATCTCAAAATTTCAGCTCAAAATATTGAGTCGTTTGGACGTGACCGTCAAAACTGCTTATCCGGACACGTAACCCTTTTAAGATTTGGGTCAATTTTTTCGTTGGGAGACCTGATAATCGATCCCCGTTCATTGAGAGGTATATACAGTGAATGACCCAAATGCTGTACTTGATAATGAAAGGTAAATTCCACCTACGCATTATTTTTATACAAAAAATGTCTGGTTTTATCTAGACACCGCATAATACAGCTTGGGACACCGGTCTCCATTTCCAAATGAAGACTGACGGGTTTCAGTTATTTGAAAACTTATCACAAATACTGACTTAGTTGCTCGGCCCTTAGGTAGAGGATTTTAAGGGATTTTAAAACAAAATTAAACAGTTTTATTCTCAAAAGAAATTATCGGGATTAGCCCTTTAAATAATCAACATAGTACATCTTAGCTTGGAGTAAAAATGCATTACGTCAGATAATGAGAAATTAATATATTGAAAATTTTAGTTAAACTACTTTATCTGAGCGAAGTTACGAGTGTTTGAAGTTTTGACAAGATAGTTTCGATTGTCAAGTACCATGGATAAGATTTTAAACAAAGTCTAGATTATCCATTTTAACGTTAAAATATTAAATGTCGAGAGTGTTTTAATCCAATCAATATCACGGCCATCCGATGGTCTAAATAGTTGATTGTGGTCTTGTGTTTTATGCCGGATTTATGATTTATATAACATTTGAAGCTAAAAAAAGGCCCGCAATAGGCATAATTAGATCTTACTTAATGTATCTTTAAGCCTTGACAAAATACATACTGTTCGGAAAATGCAAATGACGGTCAGTAGCGTTAGGGTATTTTGTATAATTCCACAAATCGCTGAGGAACTATATTTACAAATAGTAAGCGCGGCAGGACCACTCACACAACACGTTAGAACAAACCTGCGGACAATGGGATACATAAATTACACAGACATTGCAAGCAATAAACACAGATATGATGCATTAATTGGAAATTTGTCAAGAATCGGCATCTACTGTAGGCAAAAAGGGATATAGGGAAACAAGCCAGTGCCACATATGATATTCACTGAACATTTTTGATGGGCGCATTTTTAACCCGAATGAATCCAAGCCGGGATATTATTTATCGTTGATATTTTGATTTTGTTCTCTCAACAGTTAAGTAATCAAACTGAGGGTTTTTTTTTCGTGGATTAAGCCGTAAAATTTAAAATGAAATGAAATGAAATGGGGTTTAACGTCCCACGTTTCTGCTCCGGCTGGGATGAAGACGGGAATACGCCGTACAGTACTATGAGGGAAATTTTACCCGGACAGCGGCGATACGAGCTACTCTTGTCTTGTATCGAATTCCAACTGTTATAGGACCTTTCACGTGCACACCAATGTGTACACGGGACCTTGGTTTTTCGTCCCATATGAACGACTATATACTTTGTCCCTTGTCAGGCCTTCTCTCCTGCACCACTGACAAGAGGAACCACGCCGGAAAATCCGATGAACTTTCTCGGCCAACGCAGGGATCGTACACGGGATCCCCAGGTAGAAAGTCAACGTCTTATTCACTGAGCCATCGTGGCTCCGAAAATTTAGATAATTTCCAAAAATGAAAATGACGATAAGCTACATCAAACCGCGTTACGTCATGATTACGCAATAACATGTTCACACTTTGCTGCAATATACAAAGATCAAATTGACATCGAGAAAAAAAACAATAAGACGGAAGGTGGGCGTGGTCTATATTTGAGTGGCGGGAATGAATTAAATCTATTTCTTGGTATAGATGACCAAATAAGGGTACTTAAAGAGGCGGAACCTTTGCAGAGGCGGATCCAGGAATTTTTGCAGGAGGGGGTTTGCCAGGTTCCTGAGAAAATGTACTCCCCCCCCACCCTCGGCTTGAAATTTTTTGAGAAAAACATGGTCTCTATCGTCATTTTGGCGTATATACATACACATTGAGCTTTTTAAACAGAGAAATCCAACATCCTGTTTGACGTCAATTTTTATTATGAATTAATACGATGACATTGTGATTCAATTTTATTGATGCAAAGCATTAATTGTGATATCACATATGTCTATATCATTATCTCGCGCTTTGGGTGCCCATCCTGTCGCACCATCTGACGATAAAGGATAAAGCACAATTATGACAATTTTCTCATAAAAAAGGTTGTTTTACAAAATATTTATGTAGCTGGCATACCTAACAACACCGTGTTCAGTAGTCTAGACCTAACAATAATAAGCAAACATGAAAAAAAAAATTTTTTATTGAAATACCTTAGTGTCACATGCACAATGAACACAGTTAACCTGATGTCCCGAATCAACTGCGCACTAGAGCCCAACTCCCTTCTTTTACTTAGCGACAAGAAAAAAGCCTCGAGGAATTACATATATCAAGCGGTTGTGTATAGACCAAGGGGTGTGGCCTATGTTAGATGATTGACACCATCCGTGAATTTTAATCTAATATATACAGGTGTGTTCGACAGATACGAGGACAGATTAGCCGTTATCACCTGGTGTTAATTACTGTCGGTATTACACCCCACGTGCTCACGTAAACATCTCTCAAATGGATTTATAACTACTAAACTTTTATAAATTTGTGGATATACCTGTTATTATGGATGGAAATCATCAACATCACGACAGCGGTCAAACAAGTGGACATGTAAGTGGTGTTAATGGAAATGGACATATAGAACATAACGGTCAAGGATCAAATCATATGGGATCTATGGGGCATGGCGGTCATCATAAAATGGTGATGCCGCATGGTCATTCAGTAAGTACAGGCTAAGCTATATTGAGTATGGCCACTTAGATAGTCTAAATAAGAGAGAGGGAGAGAGAGAGAGAGAGAGAGTGTGTGTGTTTAACGTACGTCCACTCAACAAAAACTCGGTCATTTCGGGACTAAACTTTTTTCAGTTTTATTCCAATATTCCACCTTCGCGTATAGGTCTAATACAGTGGGAGGAAACAGGACGAACCTGAGAAAACCCACGAGGTTTGACAAGCTTGGGATCGAAACCACGCCACTTGACATAATGACCAAACCAAGTTGGCATTTGTTGGCAAGTTCATATAATAGCTAATAATATATCTTCTTTGATTGGCATTTAGTAATTGAACATATTAACACAGGTTAGGCCTGCAATTTTATGGATACAGAACTACCAAGTTTAATACTAAGCGACGTTTAGACGAGGATATTCTCGTCTGTATCGTTTGCTTGATAAAGACGAGAGTGTCCTCGTCGAAACGTGGCTTAGTATTAATTTCGGTAATCGTGTATCCATAAAATTGTACCCTGAGCTAATAATATAGGTCTAATATGTATATTAAGATAAGATAAGATTTGTATTATCTCGAATCTCCCCTTACAGAGCAAAACTAGCTTGTAACATAAAACATATTAAAACGTGTATTGATAGGACGTAATGTAAACACCCACTACATGACAAACCTACACGTGATCATGGTGGTAAAAAAAAATAAAAATGAATGAAAAGGGGTTTAACTCCCTACTTTTCTATTTGAATTTTATGTTTGAATTTTTATGTCTACTGAAACTGGCCCTGAACTATTTTAATTTGACTTTAGCTAACAATCAACATGTATCAATGAAAGGTGTGTAGAATTATTGAAATGAAATGGTGTTTTGTTTTTTTTTTAACGTCCAACTTTTGAGCTCCAATGGGACTGATGGGGACGTCATTGATGGGTAGAAATGAATGGGGTTTAACGGCTTACTTTACTGCAGCAATTGGGTTAATTAAGACGCCCTACAGTGTGCTATGGTCAAAATTTTTGGACCACTCGTCACTAACCGCTACGTCTCATCTTCTTCTGGGGTGACGCTCTTCGAAAAAGCCCAAGGCTCCATCAATTGAAGTCCGATCGACATCGACATGGAAATTTGCATGCATCGATTTGATGAATTAGATTTTGAATTTCATGCAATAACATGGTCAGTTCCTGGTCCATAGTACGATCGTACTTGTTTCATGAAAACGATTAAACTAATGCACGTGTAAAAAATAATTATTAAACTAATGTACGCGGAAACTATTAATCTAATGCACGTGTAAACGATTAGACTAATGTACGTGTAAGCAATTAATATAATGTACGTGTAAACAATTAAACTAATGTACATGTAAGTAATTAAACTAATGTAGGTGTAAAATATTAAACTATTGCACGTGTAAGCAATTAAACTAATACACGTGTAATGTAAAAAAATTAAACTAATGTACGCGAAAACTATTAATCTAATGCACATGTAAGCAATTAAACTAATGTACGTGTAAGCTATTAAACTAATACGTGTAAGCAATTAAGCTAATTGTACGTGTAAGCAATTAAACTAATGTACGCGTAAACTATTAAACTAACGTCCGTATTTTCATTGTAGATATGATGTGTAGGATAGGCATGGCCATCTTTTGCAATAGTTTTAGCGATATTGACATTAAACGCTTTGGATCCGGATCCGTTATAGGTTAACGTTTGTTGTTAAGCAAAATCTATATTTTTGCTGCTATCAAAAGATTGTCAGAAATATTGAGATTTTTCACCCCTGCAAGATAGATTATAAATTGTGTAGTGAATGAAATCCGTGGCCGCCGCCATTACGGTTAACGTTTCCTCGATCGAAAACAAAAACCTACATTTTATTTCTAGCTTTTTTTTTTGGTAAAAAAATAAATAAAATAATCCCTTACAATGCTCCACACATAACGAATTTATAGGGGAGAAATATTTTTATAAGTTTGTGATGCGCAGATGGCGAAATACGCTTACGTGGCCGCCGCCATTGTGTTAACGCTTCGTAAACTTTGTCAAACAATATCTACGTCAAACTTTCTTTTTAAAAAAGAAGATAAAAGTAAAATTAATAATAATCCCCACAATGCTCGACTCATAACTAACTTATAGCGGAGTAATATTTTGATAATTGTGTTATGCGGAAAGGCTTAAATATGACAAAAACTCTAAATTACTACAAATTAAAAATTTAATATATTTGTATAAAACTCCCATTATTCATCTTTTTTTCGGTTAGACTAATACGGAAGATTATTACCACCCACAATTTCAGATTAAAATCATTTACGAATTTTTATTTGAAATTAGAAATAAAAATCTCATTGAAGGGTTTGAGTCTGGAGACTGTTTCAGGGAGGTAGGAAAGTCGAATGGAAGAGGTGGAAATGAGTCGAGATCTAGAAAAACTATAGTAATCGGAAGGTAGAATGGGAGGGGTTAAGGGCGTGTGTGGGTGGGTGTGTAAAATAGAAGGGTTTATGTTGGGATCTAGAAACTGTAGTACTAACTGACAACAGCAGGGAAGGGGGGGGGGTCTAGACACTATAGCAGGGGGGGGGGGGGGGTAGAATAGAAGGGTTTACGTCGGGAAACTATAGCGGGAAGTTAGAATGGCAGGGGGAAGGGGGGGGGGGGGTCTAGAAACTATACACAGTTAAAAATATCAAGGTAGTTTACACCAATTCGGGTGGCAACCTGCATTACCTCTCAAGGATGGTTTGTAAATTACACTTCAATTTTAATAATTACACCAACGCGGGTGTAATTTGTTTTGTTGGAGATTTATTTCAAGCCAACGACTTCTAAGTTCCGAAAACTTGAAATTGGCTATCGGCCTCTATGATAATTAGTATAGGGCGTTTAGCCCAACCCTAATTACATATGGACCGTCGGCTACTTCTCTTCATTTTACAACGACATTAAATTGATAAATACCCATCACACTGATTCAAATTTAACTGCTGTTGGGCAATATTAGACAATCTGTATCAATTTACAATAAATATAAATCATGAGGGAAAATCAATACACATATCCTTACAATTTAGCTGAATAATGTGGTTTATTCATTTATGCACCTCACCTGAACTTAGAATTATTAAAAAGGATATTGTACTTGGTAATATTTTGGAACATTTACACGTCTTTAAGTGTATACAAGCTAAAATAATCTATACTTTACTCGTTATGAGTAAATACTCTAAAATGAGTTATAGTTGTGTTACTATAGTGCAATCAACGCCATATTTTACAAAAAACACTCAAATTGGAGTACACAAATACTTTTTTTAACGGAAGATACGGTGTAAAATTGACACCTTACTCAGAGGAATGTTTCCCTAATATAATTACACCTGATGGCGTAAATGCAATAAAACGCTTGTAGAGGGGTAGCTCATCCCAAACACCCTTTAGCGGCTACAATTACACCTATCCTGGTTTTCAGTACTCATGAATTTCGATTACACTTTTGCAACCCAAGTAAGATTAACGCTGTTCTATGATTCATTCCCCAATAATAGTTACGCCCTTTGGTGTAAATGCAGTATGGCACTGGTAGTGGTATAGCTTATCCAAAACACCACACAATTACACCTATTCAGGTGTTAAGTAGTCATGGATATCGCTTACACTTGTTAGGTTTAGTTTTTTTAGTTGGTTACCCTTGGAAAGGTATTACATTTAAAAAAACTCTGGCTGTGGTGTAAAGTTTACACTTAATTAACACTACTTATAGTTTTTAATTACACCCATTTTTAACAGTGTATATAACAGGGAGGTAGAATGGAAGAGAGGGGTGGGGGCGTCTAGAAACTATATATAACAGGGAGGTAGAATGGAAGAGAGGGGTGGGGGCGTCTAGAAATTATAACAGGGAGGTAGAATGGAAGGGGGGGGGTCTAGAAACTATATATAACAGGAAGGTAGAACGGAGGGGGTGGGGTGGAAACTGTATACAACAGGGAGGTTCATCCCTTTGCTAACAGGAGCCGTGGTGGTTGAGTGAGTAATACGCTGGCTCGCTAAACAAGAGGCCTCGGATTCGCTCCCGGTGAAAGTTCTTTGTGATTTCCCCTTTGTCAGTGGTGCAGAACGGAGAGCCTGGCAAGAACAATGTTTAGTCGTTCGGATGGGACAAAAAACCGAGGTTCAGGGGACGCATTGTCGTGCACGTAAATAACCGTTGACAATTGGAATTCGAAATAAGATTAGGCCTTAGCGCCACTGCCCTGGCAAAATTTCCCTCATTAGCTCAGTCGTTGCAGAAAAGTAACACGTTAAACTCCATTTCAATTCATTTTGGACACCGTTTTATCCCTTGATGAGATCTTTAAACCACGTCGAGAAATAAAATGACATATTTGATATTTTTATAACGGTAATAAAATGTAGATTAAAGTGATATGAATATTAATCAACTACTTTAATTCTTTCTTTTATCAATTTGCGCTTTTTGATGTCTAAACATCAAAATCCTGCATTATTGCTTTTAAATTGTTTAGAACCATTTTCGTCATACTAATGATTGCCATTACGTTATACGGTGTTTAATTACCCTGCCATTACGTAATACAGTCTTTAATACTTTGCCATTACGTCATACAGTGTTTAATTACCTTGCTATTACGTCATATATTGGTACTTGACAATCGAGACTATCTTGTCAAACCTTCAAACACTCACAATTTCGCTCAAAATAAAGTAATTTAACTGAAATTTTCAATATATTCATTTGAATCATCTTTCTAATTACCTTGCCATTCGTTATAAAGTCTTCCATTACTTTTCTCGTTACATTGGCACAGCCTTCCATTACCTTTTCATTACGTTATTGTACAATATTGCATTACCTTGTCATTACGGTATACAGCTTTCCATTACCTTTTCATTGCGTTATATAGTATTCCATTACCTTGTCATTACGTTATACAGAATGCCATTCTATATAACTTGCCTTTTTATGATGACAAACATTTAAATGCTTTAAACATATTATTTGGAGATTTAAAAAATGGAATGTGGGATGAAGCCGCCTTGATGCGATTGTATTAAAGCCCCGGTATTAGGAATTCGGAATCCTTATTAACTACAAATAATGTCAAAGCCTAATCCCTAAAAGGAAAATCGGCCCAAATACGGTTCCAAATCCGTTCACTATTTACAAAGATATAACGAATTGAAAATTTCGCTCCATTCGACATCACCAGCAGATGATATATAAACCACCATATTATGTTTTGCGCAATATAGCCCGGTTGGTGTTGAACAAACCAGCGCCACATATAAGTGTTAGGTAGAATATTTTGCAATCCGATTGAATCCAAGCCAGGCGATTATTTACCGTTGATATTTTGGTTTTGTTTTCTTAAATAAAGGGGCATTATGGGAGATTAGCTAAAGAGAGAGAGAAATGGGGTTTAACGTCCACTCGACACAAACTAGGTCATTTCGGGGCTAACATATGGTTTAATTTTATTTCAACAATTCGCTTGCGCATAGGGGTCTTTAGCAGTGGGAGGAAACCGGAGGACCCGGAGAAAACCCACGAGATTGGACAGGCGACCCTACTCCTTGTCACGTACAACCGGGGATTCGAAACCACGCCAGTTGACTCAATGGCAGGCCTTATGGTACCGCGCGCACGTGCTAACCATTCGGCCATCCAACCGCCCGATTAGATGAAGAGCTAATACTACTTGCTATAATAGTTAAAAAATAGATAACGTAAAGAGAATAAATATGTTTAAAATTTCAGTCAAGTGGCTCCTCTTTGAACCGAAATATTAGCTTTTGAATTTTAGGCTAGCCTCGATCATCATTACTGCAAAGTCTCGATTATCCACTTTTACTTTTAATTACTTTTAAAAAAAATGTATTCCAATCCGTTAAATATCGCATCGAGAGCTGATTATTGTCTGGATAAGTTAATTACTGTCTAATTAATAATTTAGATAACATTTGAGACCTGAAGAAAGACCTACAATAGGCAGATTTAGTTCTTGCATAACGTATGTTAACAATCTGATTAAAACACAGAGCCTTTTTCGTTTCGTTTTTTATAGTTCAAAATTTCGTTTTACGTTACTTGTCTTTACTCCACTAGGATCTTGAAGAGTTGTTCTCATTGGCGTGTTCTGAATAGTGTGAGCTATTAGCCAATGAAACGGTCTCTTACGGCGAGCTTTAGGCGTGTTTTGCACGGAACTGTGGGTAATCAACTAGTAACACTAATGCTGATTGGTTAATCAAATGTAATCAAATGACGTCTGACGCCATAGACTCACTTGCCGCTCGTATGACCTCTGACGTGACCTATCGCAACAACTGGTCAGATCTTCATGTAGTGTAGGCCATCGAAAATATAAAAAAACAAAAACAAAACGAAATATAGATCTGTATTTTAATCAGATTGGTATGTTAAATAATCAATTAGATAATTGTACGAAATCAGCGGCTATAAAGAACCCGTATGTCTCCCGTGGCGATAAAATCATTGATAATCGAATTGATTTAATTCTTCGTGTTAGAACATTAACCGACGAGTTAGCGGCTGTTGGTGACTATAAACGTTTGTTTATTTCTCGTGAACAACAATGTCAGTTGAGTGTAAATTTCGGGTATCTTGGCAAATATTTAAAGAGGTGTTATTACTTTCATAAAAACGGAAAAAAATGAATATTGCAAACAGTATTCAAAGTACACTTACAGTCGAACGGTTACCCCCTACTCTTAAATTAAAGAAAGAAATATCATTTTTTTTTAAAAAAATAAACGTACATTCAAATGATTATCCCAAATCCAGCGCAAATTATTTTCATAAATGTTCGCATGTCGGTTTAAAGGAATCGTAACCCTTATAACGTCAAAATAATAATAAAAAAGCGTATAGAATGGACCGAGCAGGCGTAAACGACTATCGTTCAGTTTGGACTGTTCACGCATTTCACCGAACATATAAATCACTTTAAATACTTGTATAACATTAGTGTATGCTTTTAAACCCATTGTTGTCTAGTTTAAGTTTACAAAGAATAGAGCCATATGAACTTGAATTAAATGCACTGTTCACTGTTCATAGAAAGGTTTGAATTACATACTGAATACATAATATTAAATGTACAAAGGCTGTTTGAAATCTCCTTATACATTTTATAGGATTGTTTAGCTCAATATAAAAATGTTTTTCCACGTAAGCTTACTTACAACTGACTTTCCACGAGGAGCGGATATACGGGGCGGGCGAGGGTGTGTGTCCATATCTATGTGTGTGATGGAGGGCGGGGGGACTTTCTGTTTATTCCCAATTTAGGGCACCGGAGCCCGAAATAGTCGGAAATGGCTCCTATACAACGTGCTAGCCAAAATTTGTAATATAGTAATCTGTAATTTCTGGACCTCCGCCTTCTAAAAATCCTGGATTCTCCCTGTACACCGTACCAGAAAAGAAAAAAAAGATAGATAGATAGATAGAAATGGGATTTAACTTCCACTCACGCAAACTAGGTCATTTCGGGACTAACCCATGATTCAAAGACCACTACGTGCAAGCGAATTATTGAAATAAAATTGAATCATATGTTAGTCCCGAAATGACCTAGTTTGTGTCGAGTGGACGTTACCCCCCCCCCCCCCCCCCTCTCTCTCGTCTCGCATAGCTCAAGCTCCCATCTATATTGCCCCCACCCCTCTGACTCCACAAAAGCAGGTACGCTACTGACTACTGAAAGTGGTAACGAGGCCTTAAAAACATTTAGCATGCATAAATCAATCTGTGTTATTCGAGAAAATGTAAATAGTGTATTAACCGATTGATTAACATATGAACGGACAGCTTGTATAAATAATACTGTTTGCATATCCTTTAAGTGGTTCAAAGTCATATCCCTAAAATAAACCGAGTCTTATTCTTTAAAAATCCCCGCCTATGTCCCTCTATTTTGTTTTCATTTCAATAAAAAATTTCTTTATGATTCTTTATAATGAAAATATTCTATGTAATCCTATTTAATCGCAATTGTCATCATTAAACACATTATGCAAGAGCTAGCCAGTGTTATTTACTGGATTGGGATCCGATCTGCTGCCCAACGCTCATTCATGATTAAATCAAAAAATGGATAATCGAGACTATGTTTTTTTATCGTACCTACTCTAGTAATGATGATCGATCGCTAAATTCTGGGTTCAGAGTGGACCAAACTGACTGATATTTTCAGCAAATCCTTTACATTGTTTAGTTTTTAACTATTATAGTGAGAACTGTCAGCTCTTTATCTAATCTCCCATAATGTATCTCCTCGTTTGGGCCTATTTAATTTAATTCTTAATCTATTAATAAAATTCGGGTCTCAGTTTTATTTTTCATGGAATTGTTGTTTCTGTTAAGTCTTAAAATTAGAAGTGGTAACACGTGTTCTAGAAAGAGTAAGTATACCCTGCCCGGTGCACGCTACCGCCTACTATAGCCAATACTGGGGTGGAAGTTTTGACCTGAGATTTCAGAAGCCGATTAAGTTATTAAGTAAAAGACAACCCAAAGGTCATCAGTCCACTGGGGAGTCACGGTGGCTCAGTGAGTAAGACGTTGGCTCGTTAACCTGGAGGTCTCGTGTTCGATCCCTGCGTTGGACGAGAAAGTTCATTGGAATTTTTCGGCGTGGTTCCTCCTTGTAGTGCAGCACAGAGGGGCGGGCAAAGGACAACGTATAGTCGTTCGGATGGTCGAAAAAACCAAGGTCCCGTGTACATAATAGCGTGCACGTAAAAGATCCTTTGACAGTTGGAATTCGATATAAGAGTAAGTCGTAGTGCCGCTGTCCGGGCAAAATTTCCCTCACAGCACACTGTATGGCGTATGCCCGTCTTCATTAGCCCAGTCGAAACAGAACACTAGGACGTTAAATTCCATTTCATTTCATTTTTGTTTGTTGCTTACTGTTTGTATGTTCTTTTTTCAATATTTCAGACGTTCCGGCTGTTTACTACATCGCCGATGTTATTCCAAGCATGGCCGACATCTACCATGGCAGGTAGGACAACGCTTATTCAAGATTATTAAAAACAGATGCTCTAGAAACCTTATCGCCCCAACACACCGCCGCACCACTTAAGACCAAATGATCTATGAACCCCATCGTCCCTCTTCGCTTACCGGGTGATTTGAGTTGAAATTGAATGATGATAAAGTTCCACCAAGGAATGAAAGGACATAGAGCACTCTAATAATTCTTGTCAAGTTCGATTTCCGACGACACAGCTGTGTCATTTGAGGGTAACCCATGTTCCTGAAACAACGACTGCGAGTTTTACAACATCTGGTGGACGTTGCTAGATTGCTTTACAATTCCCGAACTTATAGCTACGTTATCTCCATTTACTGCACACACGTGACACAAACACGTTCAAATCAAATATAGCGACCTCCACGGAACCTTGAAATTGCACGAACCTTGAACTTTGCAAGGTGTGCATTTTAGCTGGAAAGCTCTCGACTTGGTATTCGTGAAGATCGAGGAATCTGATAGGCTCTCAAGCTGGGCAAATACACAATCGAAATTAGTGCCGAAATATCCAGGGTATTATGTGAACGCCTTGATAAGAGGGCTATACTATATACCGGAAAACAACCGGGAAACTACTGGAAAAACACCGGAAAACACCATGTTATATTGAACACCGGAAACACCTAATCCTAACCCTAACCCCTCGCACACAGAGGAACAGGCTCCGGGTTACTTATTTAGGGTGTTTCCGGTATTTAGGGTGTTTCCGGTATTTAGGGTTTTCCCGGTGTTTTCCGGTGTTTTCCGGTATATGGTATTGTCGTGATAGGATGTGAGGATATGGGGGTAGCCATAAGGCTTATACTGACATGTCGGGACATTAAAGATGTATTATGATAAGATAAGATCAGATGTTTATTGTGAGATTTAAATAAAGAGCTGACAGTTCTCGCTATTATAATTCAAAAATAGATAATGGGCGAAGTTATGACCCAAGATGTAGCGTAGATTTTTTATTGGGTATCGTAAAACGATACATGATGCTTATCCAGTTTGTCTTAAATTTGTAAATCTCGCGTGTGTGTTAAACCATTTCAAATCTCAGCCATTCGATGAACTAGTGAGTTGATTGTAGGCTTGTCATGGTAATGTGTGCATAAATAGTTTATATATATATACTTATATATTGCGAGAGAGAGGAGAGGAGAGAGAGAGAGAGAGAGAGAGAGAGAGAGACTATAGGTCATTTCGGGAATACCACATGGTTCAATTTTATTTCAATTGGTCTTTAGCAGTGGGAGGAAACCGGAGGACCCGAAGAAAACCCACGAGGGTGGACAGGTGACCCAACTCCTTGTCACGTACAACCGGGGAATCGAAACCACGCAAGTTGACTCTATGACTGACCTTATGATATAGCGCGCACGTGCTAACCATTCGGCCACCCAACCCCCTTTATATATATATAACATTTGAAGCCAAAATAAAAACCTTAAATACGAAGATTTAGCTCTTACATAATGCATCTTTAAAAAAACTGTTATGTTTAACTTCAGGTTTAGTGATGGCTATAATATCAACAGCAGCGTTGGCCTTTATATACGAGGGTTTGAGGTACTACGTCTATGTTCACAGTGCTCTGGACAAAAGAGGTGAAAAATGGCAAGTATAAAAGTTTGTAATATAGAGAGAGCTTGAACTGATCCTGGCTCACTAGCCACGAAATTCTCGGTGTTGGCCCTGCAGAAAATTCTTATTTTAGGGTGGTTTACCCATGACAATGGTGCCGGACGGAGCGCGTGGTCGGGTAAAATATCCCCAATAGCTCACTAACCCGTTACTACAGAGTAGTAGGGTCTATAAACCCCATTAAAGATACATTATGTGAGATTCCTTAACGAGTTGGCAGTTCTCGCTATAATAGTTAAAATCTAGATAATGTAAAGGCAATTTGCTGAAAATTTCATTCAAATTGATCCACTATGAACCGAGAACTAAGCGATTGAAATTTCCATCTAGCCTCGATCATCATTACTAAAGTCAGTACGATAAACTGCATAGTCTCGATTATCCTTTTAATCCTTAAATCGTGAAAGAAAGTTATGCAGTAAATCGGCTCATAATCTACTAAATATCACAGACTAACGATGCCATCTAGCGTTGTTTATTTTCTGGATAGGTTAATTAATGTCTAATAAAGAAAGACCTGCAATAGACAGATTTAGCTCTTGCATAATGTATGTTTAAGTTTCATTTATTTATTAATTTGCATTAAATATTCCGAGGCTACGTTCCGCAAAATCCATCCAAGTCAAAACTTTCTAGTGACGGATTCGTTCTTAAACACCTGATCGCACAACTTTGGTGATTACGGCGTATTTGAATTTTTATCACGGGCGTCGTGTAGAAGAAATTCTAAACATAGAAAGCCCGAGAGGTGATTCCCATTATATATAGGACTGAGTAATCATCGTATGATGAGGCCATCACACCCGACGATTATCGACACATACCCTGTGAAATACCCATTCCTTCAATAGACGGAATTAGGAAGAGACGAAATGGAATGAAATGGGGTTTAGCGTCAAACTCTTTTGCATACAGTGTGCTATGAGGGGACAGCATGTCAGCAACCTACTCTTGTTTCGAATTCCAAATATAAAGAATTCTTTTTGCCAGCACGCCAACGTGTGAGATCTCTATTTTCGTCCCATCTGGACTGACAAGAGGAAACCACGCCGGAAAAATCCCGAGGTATGCTTTTTCCAGTGAGCCAGCGCCTTACTGACCGCTGCTCCCTATTAGTATATATATAACTAACCAAACTGGATTGATTCAGGTCTTCCAAAAAACTAAACTGAAGTTGGAATCCGGTTTCCATCCCCTATATTATGATAAAATAAACAATCCATTAACAGTCACAATCCTGGGGAGTTTGGCAAGGCTCTGGTTTATGTCCAGTACCGTTTTGTGCGTGTGTTATCGCTTTCCGTGATCTATCAACGCAAATGATTAGACTTTGATTGGATCTGATCGAACTTCAGAGGCTTATTAATTATGAGTTCATTCTTTTCTCATTAAAGATACATTGTGTAAGAGCTACATGTAAATCTGGCTACTGCGGGTCTTTATTTTGTTTCAAATCTTATATAAATTATCAATTAGACATTTATTCACATGGCAAAGCCAATAATCAACTCTCTAGACCAACGGATGGTGGTGATTTTCAACGGATTGAAACACGATTGCCATTTAATAATTTATTTTAAAATTGGATAATCGAGAATTTGTATATTATCGTAAGAGCGATAGCAATGACAACCGAGAGTACACTATCGTTCAAACATTCATATACATGTATATTCATTTTTCATTATCTATTTTTAAACTATTATAGCGAGAACTTTAGGCTCTTTGTCTAAATTTTACATATTGCATCTCTAAACAAGAAACATTATTCTATTTTTCGTCAACATAATGCTATTTATTTAAGTGGAACCTGTTCATAGTTTCGGGCGAAAATCAAACTCCGCCTTCCTCAGGATGGGACGTAAAAGGTTCCCTGACAGTTGGATTTCGAGGAAGAATATGCCAACACGTCGCTGTTCGGGCAAAATTACCTTTACAGCACAATGAATTATACACGCCTGGTTTTATTAGCTCCGTTGGTGTCAAAAGATGTTAAACCCCATTTCATTTCACATTGTCTCTTTCTCATCAAAATTTAATAAATAGTGTATTATATTTTTTTCTTTTTCAGTCCTAAGAATGCGACGAAATACAAACTTTTGTCTCGGATATCAGGGTCACTTCTTCACATGCTCCATTTTGCAATTGGTTATATTTTAATGCTGGCGGTTATGACGTTCAATGTTTGGATATTCGCGTCACTTATACTAGGTGCAACTTTGGGCTATTTCTTTATCCGCCCTACGGTAGAACACTATTTTAAAATCATCCGAGATAAAAGAAACAAGTGTGGGACCAAGGGACGACTCTTGCAAAATGGAACTACAAACGGCGATTTAGTGTTAAGAAAATATAACTTTGAAGCGAGTTCGAAATGTGGTAAATCATCGGGAGGTAAAACAAACGGCAAACCTACTAACGGCGCATGTCGGTCCCAAATAGTGACAAATGGTGTCATGAAATTAAAGGACGTTGCTCGTGAGAGGTTTTTACTGGAAGACAGGGTGTCTGTGGTATGACGTCAGCCAAGACTTAAAGAAATTATACTGCCAAATTCGTATCTTATGGTACTACCGCGTTTTTGGATGTCAGATGTGTTACATATAGTTCAAACATGCAGAAATACTACGAGATCACGTGACAAAGCGAGTAGGCCTAGTTCAACTTCCCAAAAGTAACCTCCTTTAATAATATTAATATTAGATGATTGTGACATGTTGGGCTCCTTGTAGTTATAGAAATGTCATGAATTGTGTAACATTGGAGAAAGAATAACTAGTCTTAGTCCATTCAGACACTTCTATCCACAGCGAAGTGCACGTGGATATAGAACTATGAGTTACAGATTAAGTGCGGACATCATATTAGGGATTGGAAAATCCAAAGTTCGAAAACTTCCGACTTTTGACGTATTGCAGATTACGAAGTGCCGAGTGTACTTAAGTTTGTGTTGAAAAAAACGCCCGTGGCCCTGACTGAGTCTGCTTCTTTTATATACACTGTAATGATGTGCCAAATTTTAAAATGTTTTCAGTTGAGGAAACTGAAATTGAGCATCACAAACATTGTTTAAAAAGAAAAATCATCAACATGATACTTTAACATAAAGATGCAAAACACAATCCTAAAGATGCATTATGCACGAGCTATATCTGACTATTGCAGGATATTTTTCTGACTTCAAATATTGTAAAAATGATTAATTAGACATTTATTACATGACACGCCCATAATCAACACTCTAATTCATCGGATGGCCGTAATATTGAATGGATTAAAATATATTCGCCATTTTATAATTTAACGGTAAAATCGATAATTTATTACTTAGTTTATTATCGGAGCAATGGTGCTTGACAATCGAGACTATCTTGTCAAAACTTCAAACAATTTTCAGTATATTCATTTCTCATTATCTATTTATCGAAATCTTACATAATGCATCTTTAATATAGTTTATGGAACGATTCTTTTCTTTAAGTTATTTTATATACGGTCAGAATGTCATCGCGCACTCCGTCCGCCCATTGGTCCGTCTGTCATAATTTATTGTGAAAACTCAGATTACGTTTATCATCCGAACTTTCTAAAATGTATATTTGTTTTTACATCATTAGAGGGATACATACGTTTCATTGATTTCTGATAAATATAATCCGATGTGTAAAGATTACTGTAACGAAGAAACCCGTAGAATTTCCGTTAATTGTATTCTGTGTTATGGCCCTTGTTTACTTTACTCTGGCGACAAAAGTTGGAATTCTTTTCCATTATTTAAATTAGTGAAACAAAGAAACCCATTGATTTCCATTAGTCTTAAACCTTTTGAATCTCTGACCGCAAAGATCGACATGATTTGCTTGAAATTCATGAGTATTGTTTAAATTAATGAAGTCTTGTGAACGCTGTATTTTATTTACGTTAAGATTTATAGTGTGACAACCTTGTGGACTGATCTGACGACTTAGCTGCTGTGGGCATATGTTTCGTTGCTTGTTATTCAATCTTTTTGTAAAAGCATAATTATTTTTATATATTTTTTGTAATAAAGTGTTTTATTTTGTTAACTGATTATTTATAAATATAATAAAGGTATGTCTATTTTATTTATTCATATCTCAGCATTTTATAATGAGCCATGTGCGACTAAATTCTGTTAGTGTTATGTATTAAAGACATCATGACACGTTTCATCTTTTCCTTGCCTTATTGTAGATACATTGTCAAAAAAGGGTGCACAAAGTTATACTGTTTACGGCAGTCCGCTAACCCACGCACAAATCCGATAACTCGAAACGTTCCGGTCTGTCAATCGAGCATTCTGCAGCGAGTGGGGTTATGTGCTAAACCATGTGACACATAATATATGTTTAAACATACGTTATGCAAGAGCTAAATCTGCCTATTGCAGGTCTTTCTTTAGGCCTGAAATGTTTTCTAAAGTATTAATTAGACATTAATTAACTGATCTAGGCCTTAATCAACTTTCGATGACATCAGATTTCTCCGATATTAAATAGATTAGAATGGTTCAGCGATACTTTGATTTAATCAAATATGGAGGACCGAGACTTAGCTTCGATCAACCAGTACGGTGGTTGAAATTATTGCACACGTCTGTCAAACCTTCAAAGGCCAATATCTTCGCTTGCAATAGAGTAATTTGAATGAAGTTTTCAAATTATTCATTTTACATTATCTACTTTCGAACTAGTATAGCAAGAATGGCTAGTTCTTTATCTAAATCTTACATAATGTATCTTTAAGTGCTCAATAATACGAATGTAACGAATAATTATTTCAACAAAATAAAATAATACCCCCGCCCCCAAATAATAATTTGATAAGCATGAATATTAAGCCCGTTTGTACGATTTTTAAGGATATTACCATTATCAACATAAGGATACGCCATGGGAGGTTTGGGGCGAGATTGCGGTTCAAGGCGTACAATTACAAACATTTTACTAACT